GGTGTAGTGTTTAGGGTTAGGGTTTAGGATCTAGGGTTTAGAAATCCATTCCCTCGCCCCAAGAAGGCTGGATAGAACGACACAATGTTGTTTCGTTTGCTTCGTCGAACGCTGTAGTTCTGGGAGTGCCATCGTGGGTATCTGGTAGTTTCACAAAGCAGGTGGGCCCCAACATAAACCCCACGATACTGTAGTCCTCATTATGGGAGCCCTCAAAGTGGTACCCATAATTTTGTGAAACCCTAAAACCTTATAAATCCCCATCTATTCCTATGTACCTTCTATAACCTAGATATCCTCCCCTCCAAGGTACAAGGAACCACAGGCGGGTTTGAATTCGAAACCCGAGCCCCTCGCAATAAGCGCAGCCTGCAGGGCCCTGCCCCCCCCGAAAGTGTAGGCACAACAAGTAGAGGTCCATTTGGTACTTTCCTTAAATATGTGGACCCTAATACAGATTCCAAAATAGTATAGTCTTTAAGATGGAAACCCCCAAAAAGGTACCCCAAAGTTTGGGAAACCCCGATTTAAATTAGATGTATAGCGAGAGGCTTTCCGGTGTTTATGGAAGGGGCACTGTAAGGTTTAAAGACGGTTGACAGAGGGTTCATGAATTTTGCAGCAGGTCTTTACAGGGTTCAAGAGATTTTCTGAGGGTGGTTCTAGAGAGTTCATAAAGTTTTTCATGGATGTTTATAAAGTGCGTTTAGATGTTTTTACAAATGTTCAAAGTTTATAGAAGGTTTGCAGGGGTTCATGGCCTCTATGGACGGTTTATAGAGGGTTAGAGATTTTTGGGTGGTTTCTTAGAGGGTTTGTAAAAGTTTCACAGAGCTTTATTGGGGGCTTATATACAGGTACCCTCCCCCCCGTGCTCCTGTGGTGCTGTGGTCTGGGTCCTGTGCTGAAGGTTCTAGAGGGTTTGACAGAGGGTTTAGGAATGTTATTCGGAGAGTTCAGGGGTGGACTGGGAACGCAGAGTGCGGACGCATATGAGCCATAGTCTAAACGCCGAGTATCCCCCTTAGTAACCCTTGTAGGTCCCCTATATAATTCCTTATATAACCCCTTTAAGGAGTTTAGACTATGGCTCATATGTACCCCTTCTGCTCTTGCATTTCAGGTCTTGGCATCCTCGTGCTGCAAGGACATTCCTATTTGACATGTGCTTGAAGGTAAGGGTTGAGGGTTAAGGTCGTAGGGATTGACTAGGGTGTTGGACTCATGTAGGGTTAGATTAGCGGTTTAGGGCTTCTTCAGAGTTTAGGGTCTAGGATTCATGCAGCGTTGAGGGTTTCGGATCATTTTAGGGTTGAAGGGCATTCGGTCAGAAATTAGTACGCGCTTTATGTTGTTATGATTGCTGCTAGTGGATGATTTTGGAAGCTTCTCACAACAAACCGATCGATTGTCCCAGTCTCCATTCAGCTTGCCATGGTCTCTTCCATTTCGTTCTCCAGTATTCTTACATATCCCTATTCGCCCTTGTAAGCTCACTGCAACCTCGCGCACATCTTCCTAAACAATCCTTGCTCCGCACATATCCCTGTGGGCACCTACATCCTTCCTGTGAATGGCGGAAACCTTGCACCACCCTGTATAGCCTCAATATTGATGCTTGCAGTGCTTTGATGGTCCGAAGTGGTGCAAGATGTCCTCCATCCACCGTTTGGATGGATAGGAGTATACTTCTTGTTCACCATTCTGGTGGTGGTTGCTTACCACGTGCGGCTCGGTGAGCATCAGTACCTGCGTCAGTGAGAGAAAACCATGGGCCACTATGAAAACCATAGTAGTTTCCATTCTATTTTCCATTATCCCAATATAGCCCCAATATACCTTATTATATTGTTTCCATCTTCTTTCCCATTATCCCAATATGACCCCCCAATATACCCTATTATAATATAGCAGTTTCCATTTGCTTTTCCATTATCCCAGTATACCCTTGCTTCCTGCAAGGTCTAGGCCTCTTGTATTGGGGTTATAGTACTCAGGGTTATATTGGGATAATGGAAAATAAAATGCAAACTACAGGGACTATGGGGGGATATATGAGGGGTTATATAGGGAGTATACCCTTAAGGGCCCCTAGAATCCCCTTGCGTTATTAGACGGAGGGCCCCTATTTGCGCCACTGTAGCCCCAAGCGCACCCAGAACCCCCTTGATTAGACTAAGGGTGCCTTTCAGGGCCATGCTTCCAAGCCTTGACGTCAATGCTTGCCAGCCAAGGATTCTGATCGTCTTGTGGTGTGCACCCATGAGCACCTGGGCAGCTGCTAAGGAGTTTAAAACTAAGTTACCATGGTATAACTCAAGTTGCCAGAACATGAGTCAACTTGCCGATACATGACTTAAGAACCCCAATTTCGCATTGTAGGAAGTTGTAAAACACAGCATTCCAATTATGGTATCGTAGTTCGAGTACTTTGACGGAACCCAGGCAAGCGGGTGCAGAAGCAGTGGTTTCTGACGGCGCAGGTGTTCAATGCTTGGCGGCTTGACATACCTTCAAACAAGGCCAATGGAATCTAAAAGTGGCATAGTACCCCTTAAGTAGATAGAATATGGGGTATGTGGGGATCTTAGTAGAATATACCCAAAGTCGTATTCTATCCTCATTAAGACGGACTATATAATTATACAAGAAAGTATTATGGCCTTAGAGTGGTATACCAGAAAGTATGATGGGCTTAGCATAATAGGCATTGTCTCCTGTGGTCACTGTCAAATAA